TCTGTACCATGAAATGTTTAAGCTAGTGTTCCTTAAATATCATAGGACCCAAGTAAGATGTGCGGGGAAGGCTCCCAACTCGGAGAAGCCCTCCAACAACTCCGACACTCAGGACAAGCGCCACCGGAACATTCACTACAAAACGCATTTCTTGGCCAAAGTCAGAAGTTAACCAGCAACCCAACTACACAAATTTGTAACTTTAAAGATACCTGGGCTTCTGCTCCTATAACAAATTTCAGTAATTACCTTTATGAAACATTACCAAAATACCCTGGATAAGTATTAATTTCAGTAAATCTCAATAACTTATGAAGTATTGTTATCAAAATACCTATCTCTTTTCTATAACACATACGGGAAAAGTTCATTTGTGCAGAAATTTTCTAGCCATCTGCAGAAATTGATTCATTAATTTATTAGTCTTACATCTAACAGAACTCTAGTGTCTTGAACTTAAGAGTTATGTAGGTCAATCCTAGTATAGATGGATCCTAATTTTAGTAAATATGTTTATCAATTAGGCATATCAAAACTCTGAAGAACAATAGTAGCAAAAATGAGCTAGACATAAATTATAAAGGAAGTCACTCACATCTGTGCAACAAAGCCTTTAACATACATTTAACTGCTCTGTATATTTGGGTGGGTATCATCAGAAAAACTCGCTTAATTAGAGAATAGGGTAAAAAACCCGGTGAAACCCACAAGCTCACAAACAGGTAATAATTCCAAAAGAAGAAAAAGGAGAATTTTTCAAAGAAAAAGAAAAATTTTTCAAGTAGATGGCACAGTGAGGTTCTACTTTATTTGTGACTTCAAAGCTTTCAAGTTCAGACTTCTCTATGTATTCTTTAAGAACTGCTAAACTGAATCAGGTCATAAGCAGCAGAGATTCTAGATGGGTATAAAAATATCAGAAGCACTAGCAATTTGACCATTTTGTCTTTCTGTTGCATTCCTACATGTCTTGTGATTTCTGTAAAATCACACACATGAACTTATTTAAATTCACCTCTATTAGTATATTTAGGATATACTAAGAATTATGGCATTGACTATTAGCATTACAATAAATAGATGTTTATTTATTGTAATGCTAATAGTCAATGCCATAATTCTTATGGCAGTTTTATTGCCATAGTCAATGTTTATTTATTACAATGCTAATAAATGTTTGTGAGTTTGGTTGATCTTTTCCAGTAGCATAGTTCAAGATGGATTTTAATAGTTAAAGTTTACAAAAGGATTGCCATCATATTGTCTAATTCTTGGTATTTTGAATAAATGTCTTTCAAATTGCTGAGCTATCATGCTCTAGAAAATATACTGATGAGGAAGCAGAGCCATTATCATTCATATAGTGCTTAATTAAGAAAGGATTTTAGAAAATCTTGGATTTTAGAAAAACTGTTTTTTAAAAATAATCACTATAAAAACTATCGCTGATTTTACTATTTGCATAGAAACTCAGTAATGAAACCAATTTAATGGCATTTCAGATGAGACAAAAGTAAAAATGGTGACATCACCACCACCACAAAAAATGTACAGTGGTTTGGTCCCACAGTAATTCCCTAGGGAGTGGCCAGTAGGCATATTTTGTCCTCAACGAACGAACCTTTTAAGAATTTAAGTTAAATCTTACAGCCATGAATTTCTTTTGAAATCAGGAAGCACTAGGCAGATGTCATAAGATGGGTGTGTCTCATCTCTGACCACTTTGCCATCACTCATGAGACTCTGGAGACATGTGCCTTCTGCTGTTGCCTTCCTACTAGGCCTCATTCCTGACCCTTAAATTGTTTTCCACGGAATGCTCCTCTGCCAGCCTCCACTCCACTGTCACCTCTGCAGAAAGACATCTCTCACTGCTCTTAAGAAGCCCTGTCTTATTCACAGCCCTAGTTCCAGCAACCAGAACACAATCTGACACAAGTCTTCAACACGCACTTGCTGAATGCATGACGACTCCACATGCTACTTCATGAATACAAAAATAAATCCCCTGACCATTTAAAAACAGGTGGACTATTAGCAAAATATCTAATCCTCAGTTCTAATTTGAAGTCCAGAAAAAGAATAAAAATCAACTTTTAATATCAGATTCTTCATATGTATTTGCTGTTTCTAGAAATGACTAAAAGCATGGCAAGATATATCTTGATTCTGAGAAATCACAGCAAATACACAATGACTCATGTCACATTGGGTCCTCAAAGATCTGATGACTCACAGAAGCAAAGTAAGTTTGGCATTAGTGTTTTAAATATACAGGTATTCTAATTAATGCATACACATGTGTTTTAAAGTGTAAAAGTTAACCAATGATCTATAATATAAATATGCAAAATGAGGTTAACAGAATTCCTGCTCTACGTCACCCTGCCCTATCACTGACTAAAAACTCTGTTCTTCAAGGTTTGATATGGCTTAGCTGGAACATCAAGAAATAACCATCTTTAGGGGGATAAAAAATAAAGTTTGCTAAATGTTGAGTCAAAGGCTTATAATCGTGGATACCCAAGTATGTGGTTCTGTCAAGTATGCTCTTTGTAAGTATTACATCAATCACTGTGATCTGTCTTTTTAAAAGAATGTAAAGGATTACATTTCAAAAAACATAAGATATTATGGCAAAGAACTCTCCAAACTGGACCTTGCAATTCCTTACTGACTTTAAATACTCTAACTAGGTAGCATCCATCCTACCTGCAGTTAATCAAAACATTTCATTTATACACACTCAACTCAGACTAAAAAAAAAATTTTTAAATAAAAAATAAGGAAACTCATGAATCAAATAATTACCACACAGATCTATCGGCACAACTGGTCATTAAGGATAAATATCTGAAATAGCAAATACTGGAGAATAAAGGTTGTCTTCAACACTTGCTATTCATACAAAATGCCTGAAACAAAAGAACATCTGTAGTCAAAGGGACTTACCGTTACAGACTTCAGTGTCATACCATGGTATGTGCCCATAGTGTCGATTTTGAAGCCTTCCGTTTCTATAAAGAAAGAGGATTTACTATTAGAATTTATGTATTTCATGATTAATAAGTCTAAAGTAATGATCTACATTACATTTGGACAGTTCAATCATATAACGAAGCTTTGAATCTATTATAGATATAGTTAAATGATATACTTGTGAAGATAAAAAGTTTAAAAGGGACACTAGTCCGAAAATACATTGAATACACACCAACAAGCCTGTTGTATAGAAACTGGTTAAGACCGTCTCTACACTTGTGTTCAACAGTCATATAGTTGGTTGAGAATATCAAAAATTATACTGAATAAAATACTATATCATATAAACTCCATTTTACTCCTAATAATTATAGTACCACTAAAAGTACCTGTTATCGTGATAAGTCCTTAACTTATAAAAAGTTGTGTTCCAAAATTATGATAGGCATGCTATAATTTGTAGGAAAGCAATGTTGTAAATAGGAGCAAGGGTTCCCAGACAGAATTCCAATACGCTTTTCTTTAAAGCATCATGTATTAAATAGTTTACACACCGCAAGCCATACAGTCTCTGTCACGACTACTCAATTATGTAGTTGTGGTGCAAAAGCTGGATAAACAATATATGTAAACAAATTGGCACAGCCTGATTTGGCCCATGAAGGGTTAGGTTTGGTTTGTGGGCTGTAATCTGCCAACCTTTACTTTACAGAATTCATTCCACAAGAAAAACATTGCAGTATGTAAAGAATGGGCTACTGTCTTTCAAGAGCATGAATTCAGGACATGACTTTGCCCAAAAAATGAAGTTAACACACAAAATTCAGTGCATCAAGGCAATACATCCTTTAGCTAAACTTAAACAGAGATTTCAGATTATGTTGGGAAAAAATCGTAAATATAAACCTTCTATTTGCTTCTGTCTCATTTTTTCATCAATCAAGTCAAGATAAATGAAGATCTCAAGAGAAGACACACTGGCGTTAGTCCCACTTCGCTGACCATATCTCTGATGTGAAACCAGTGCACCGTGTAGGCTTTCTTAAGTCCTCACACGGAGACTCCAACCTACACTCCCCAAGCCCTCAGTGTATACATCTGTAATTTGGGAAACATAATTTGATATGTACAATATCTACTCTAAAATAACCTTTTGAGAAACAGAATGTTAATAACAACAAATACAATATATATAATAGCTTATTATAGCTTATTATTTTAGACCAGTCACTATACCAGGGACTTTATATTTATTAACTAGTTTAACCCCCACAATAAGCCTAAAAGACAGGTTCTGCACTACCATTACCATTAATATTGTAAGTAACAAAGGCAGAAACTGAGACAAACCACAGTTAAAGTAACTTGTCAAGATTCAGGACAAAGTCAGTGTGACGGACACAGACAATCTGGACCCAGAACCCATGCAGTCACCCAGGGGGAGGTAGGTACATTTATTCTATAAAAGAGTAGACAGTATTTTTAGGCTTTGTAGACCACAAAATCTGTCACAACTCAACAGCACTGTCACAGCACCAAAGGAGCCACAGTCAATAAACGAATGAGTGTGGCCACGGTCCAATGCTTTATTTACAACAACATGTGGTGGGCCAGGTTTGGCCTGTGGACGTTAGTTTGCCCAGACCTGCTCTTGACCACCAGGCTGTAGTGCCTCTCAAGTTGAGCGCAACCGCAGTAAAAGATAAAAATTAAGTGACTTGCCTTCTTTTCCTTTGAATCTTTCCTGGTCATATCTGTTGTAGGCAGCTGGGATAGGCTGTTTTGTTCGCAATGTGGGATCCTGTAGAAAAATTAATTATAAATTACAAGTTAAATTTTTAAATTGTTACTTAATATTCATAATAAAAACCACAATAAAGGTATCGTTTTCTAAGCTGTTTTCTTTAGCCAATGAGACAAAAGCTAGGAGTCTCTTGATGCTTATTTTCAAGATATCATCTACTACTAAAAAATTACCATCCTATTAAGGACAAGGACAAAGGACTCCAAGTAAACCTGCACCAAGGCAAAATGCAAAACTCTTAGATACTGCAGAAATAAAACAGATGCACTTAGAATTTTCATACAGATTACTTAAATTTCTTTAAGAAACAATAAACTCACTCCAATTATGAATTTTTCTTTAACAATAAAAAACCTTTTAATTCAAAGTTTATTGAACTGACTTTTTAAAGCCTTCTAACTGAATTATTCTCCAAATTGTTATTCCTTAAATTAAAATAACAACAACTATGACAATAAATCCATTACAAGTACACAGGGTAAGATTAAAGTTAAAGTTAGTTATTATTTTTTAAATACTTAGAAAAAATTGCCAATCTAATGATGGATAATTTAATTCACAAATACTTTATCTAAAACTCAGTCTGATAATCGAAAAAAGCACATTTGTAGAATATTCCCAAAATTGCTTGGGAAATTCATGATATTCAGGAAAACTAAAATACTCATTTTGTTACAATAGGATGCTATCCCAACTCATACTCCAAATAAAAGATACTTACATCGGTTTGTCACTAGGCATATATTACCAAGTCTACTGACAATATTTATCTAAATACCAGCAAAAATTCACTTCTAAAAGGTTAAATACCAATGATTTCATGAACAAACCAAACTACTAGATCTTCCAAAGACTATATTGTCTACCAAATTTCGATATTTTTAAAAATCTATATAAAATTTAAATTTCTTTTTATTTGTGTATTTTTTCCTTTGTTGAATAATCATATGAAACTAGCTGGATTTTCAACAAAACTAGAGGGTCTGTGTGACCTAAAATACAGGCTTCATGTCACACATGAAATTTATTTTGAAAGGGTCCTAAGTGGCACCTCAAAGAGCGAGGAAGTCAACCTTCCAAACAGCTAAAACTAAGGCACAAGAGAAGGACCAGATAACCTATGAACAGGAGAAACACAACCCATTCACCAAGAAGTCACAGACACCAATGATTTTTAAAAGAGACCTAAAGTGGATGGTAATGGAGATTTATATTACTAACAGGGGTCAGTGACTGTCCCCAGCAACAATGAGCAGGCCAGCCACAGTTTAACTGATTACTCAGAGGGCTTCCCCTTAATGAACCCTTTCAGAGTCTGACCCAGGTATGTCTACAGTTAGGAATTCCT